GAGAGAGAGAGAGAGAGGCCTCAGAATAATGATGTGAGCCTTCCAGTAAAAACAATGTTTTTGGAAGCCCAACTAATCAATATGGTTTGTTGGACAACTACCAGAATAATATTCAGTACCATCATATCTTTGCAAAGCTCCTAGGTCCATCCATATATAATACATTCAGATCCACATATTATAATACATCCATGGAAGCATATACTTTTAAATACATAGATATATGCACATAAACATGCCTGTTTTCTACTGAAGGTTGCTTGATACAGGTATAGAAAACCACAAGATTCTGGATCTCTCTTGATCTGCCTTTTGTATTAAATTGTTCACTCTTTACAGGATTACTGAGTGATACATCCAACAAGGTGGAATCAGTGAGACATTGAATACACCAACACATTTCTTACAACAATTACAGTGACAAAAGAAGAAGAAATAAACCAAGAAGAAACACCTAAACCCTAACCAGTCACCTGATACCAACTTGGCCTGGACTGGCAAATAAGGAATTTACTACTAATACACATACACATACAAGGTGAAAACAGTACAAAGGAAGAGGGACAAGAGGTTACACCAAATCACCAATGGTTTCAGGGTAGAGCCAGAAGACGAAAAGATAAAACTATATCCAAAGTCTTCGAACTGGAATTCTCTAACTTGAGGAAACTGCAACTCTCTTTCTCTGAGAGTGTTCTCTTCTAACTTTCTGATCCTGTGGTAGGTTCACAAGAACTGGAGCTTTCAAGTACTTATCTCGAATGATATTATCAGTCTCCCAGAATTGAAACCAATGAAGAAAAATAGAACGCAACCTATTCATTTCAAATGAACTTCAGAGAATCGAGGCAACTCCTTCGGTGTACAAACCAACGCCCTCTGTTGCATATGCCTCAAACTCTGTTCCATGCTCAACTGAACCATCTCAGCTAAGATCTTCCTCGCTTTGTCACACCTCTCCTCCATATCCATCTGAGACACAATGTTGCTGACTATGTTCTCCAAATCATTTGCCCCTTCTCTCTCTACCCTTTCACTTGGAGCATCCCTCAACAAGTTTAGAAGCCTATGGGCCTTGGCCTGTGACTTGGGTGAACCCTGTACAGTGAGCTCGAGAAGCCCAGGAATTGCCCCTTCTTTTAGAATCAGTTCCCTGTATTTACACCTGTCACTCTCACACATTGTTAACAAAGCCCCCAAAGCATGCTCTCTAGCCTGAATCGAACCATCTTCGAGAACCTCAACTAAAGTGAGAACCCCACCTTCCAATTCTGTTATTGTTCTCCTTCCCTCTTCGAAACCCATCAAGGATTCGACAAGAGCGCTACATTTTTCAGCAGTTCTCGATGTCTTTTTGCAGATTTTAAGAAGGTTTATGAGGGGTTCCATGGCTTGAGAAGAGAGTATAGTGGTTAAGTTTTCCGGGCAAGTCGAGAGGTTGTAGAGAGCTAGAAGTGCATCAACCTTGGCTTGCCTACACCCTTTCCTAAGCATCTCAACAAGGAGAGGTATGGCACCGGAGGCACTCACAATGGTCTTCTTATCGGGGGAGGCTGAGAGGGTTAGAAGAGCAGCTGTTGCATATTCTCTCAGGTTTGGTGACTGAGATTTCAGGAAATCAATCAGGAGCTCTAATGCTCCAGCATCTATGATCTTGCTTTTGTTCCTGTGCACAAGAAACACGTAAAATATGGTTAGCGAACATTGGCAGCAGAGGAACAAGAATAGAGATAATAAACAAGGAATGAGCATCTATCTGAACTGAAATCAAGTTAGCACCAACGTGCGGCGTGCATATCAGGAAACTCTCTCTCTCCCTCCCTCTCTCTCTCTCTCTCTCGCTCT